AAATTATTGCACCTAAAAATCACTTTCTCTTTCCCTGTAAAGATTGTAGATTACATAAAACATGCAGTCACTTATTACGTCATCTAGCAACAGCTGTCAGCGTTAATTAGTATACATGTCCCTCATCACTTCAAATATATATCTAATTTATTCATACAAGTTTACAAATAATTCATGAAACATCTTATATTATGTATATTTATCATAAATTAACATTAAAACTTGAAACATTAATTTCAGCAGTGCTGTAAGTTGTCCTTTGTAAGGCACTTAATTGAATTGTGTGCATGTATCAGTCTGTAAACTGACCCTTTTTCTTACTGTGATAACTCAACAGCTACCCAATATAAAAGTTCTACTAAATGAGACCAATCTATTGAAAAAGAATGACAACCTTGACCAGTGACTTACTGACATATATTTAAATGATTCATTAAAAAAATGACTTTTTCCCTTCTGGACATAACTTTAAAATGATTCAACATCAACCGATTCTCAAAAGTTTCAGTTATCAAAAATCGCCAGACTAAAACTCATACCTCATTCAATAATTTAGGGTCTCGGCATCCTTCACTTGATCCACACAATGAAATAAGTAAATAAGTATTTTAAATACATTAATTGCAAAGGAAGCACATACCATACATAGCCAGTTATTTTATGCACCACATGCAGATACTCTTCAAACATCTTCAACAAAGGTCATGATAAAGCTAGAAATGAAAACGTTTGATGGACAGATAACATTACAGAAATTCATAATGAAAAATCTTACATAAAACATGAACAGAAATAATTGTATTACATAGCTAAATATGTCACATCATTCAGCTGAGTTGTGTCACACAGACATAATTCATGGACAAAATTTGAATAACATTTCACCACCATGAGCGTTGATAATATTTTCCACAATCTTATAAAGATCATATCAAGAATTCCTGTTAACACTTTTAAAGAGTTTAAAGAAGCTCTGCCACCTGAATTACAAGAAGAAGTTGAACTAACTAAAGATGCAAAAATGTCCTCCTTTTAAAAAATGTTGGCAGTATTGCAAGCAATAGCCTTTGGGAAAAATGCAGTATATAACAAGAGCAGTCAGTTGGATAATGTGCTATAATATTCTCAATGCAAGAAGAATTTTTCAAAGATCATACAGGAGAATAACTCTTTAACAATTCATGTTGGAGTTAAAGGCCTTTGTCTATGATCAATATGTCAATGTGATCATGCAAGACATGTGACATTTAGTTTGAGTTAATACCCACTGTGTTTAATTTAGCACCACAATTGTTTATCATTTTAAGTAAAATAATACAAAATTGACTTGTATATTTGATACAGGCTAAAGAAAATTTGTAAAATTCAGCATTTTATTGGTATGGGGGAACTTAGATATAAGCCTCCATTTTAAGAAGCATTTACAGTTTTGATGACCATCCTGAAAGCCAAATGCCAACAATCTTCTGAAGAAACCTGTCAAGATATAGTTTTTCAGTCCCAGTGAAGCCAGAAATTCCCGTTATGACCTTTGCAGAGTTGGTGTGACAATCTCAATAATAATAAGTCAACTTATCTTGTAAAAACAAGACATACACAAAATATTGTTGTAACTGGATAGGAATAATTCTGTTGATACAATCTATGAAGGCTTCTATTAGTGAAAGATAAGCTAATGAAACTTCCAGACTACTGGAAAGTATGTTCAGCACAGGTAGAGAAAAAAATAACTCAGAATTAGGATAAACATGCCATTTCATATATATGAATTACTTGTTCTAAGTGTGAATATTTGTAAAACTAAAAAAAGAGTTGTTACACCATTTAATTTGCGATCTAGACTGTGATAAAACTCTGGTGGCGGATACAATGAAACTTTAAGCTCAAACCAAATATTCTTTGGCCAAGAAGCCAAATTTACAAAACTGTTTCAGGTGAGTAAAGATTTTTACTTGGAATTTCAAAAAAAAATAAGTAATTAAATTTGGACACAAAAATAAATTTTAGGAAACCCAACCTTCTTTAAAAGGTCAAATACTGCCATATGATTTTTTTAACTTGATTAAAGGCAAAGCAATATTACCATACTATTTTTAGCCTCAGTTACCTCAACCAAATCAATACCCCATCCATAGGCACTTTCCATGTAAAATATTAACAAATCAAAAAATGAAAGCTATATCATTCTATAAATTAATAAATGCTATATGAGAATGAAAAAGAAAGTATGACCAAAGGATTGGAAAAACTTGTATCCATAATTCATACTTCATTTAAAACTTAAAACATTTCCAAGTTATATGCCACTGCCATTGTATAATAAAGTTTCTATACCCATGGTCAATGCAAGTTAAAAAGGTCTTGTAACACAGGTGTATCTGTATAATTAACTAAACTTTTATCTGATCAGGTGTGTGAGCGTGTGAATGAATACTGTTAATCTCCTTTACTTCCTACATCTTCCTTTCATAAAACATTAAATTTCCTTGGAAGTTTTTTAAATATTCTAAGTAGTCTTTTTCTCCATCTTTTACTGAGATCTGTAATGAATAAAGCAGAGTTTAAGGTCAACTTTTCTGGCAGACACTTTGCCTGATTACTCTGACTATAGAACATGAATATTTTAAGGCTACTGTATAGAAAAAGATGATATATCACATATGTATATCCCACAATCAGTTGCCAAGGCAACCATCTATTGTTAATGCTGATTTTCGTCCTAAATAATGAAGTCTTTAATCATCGAGGAAATTCATAATTTCTTGTCCGCCAACTAACATGCATATTACATACCAGTAAAATGTCACATATAATTACTATCTTCCACAACAATAAGGGCAGTCCTGTCTGTTTTCACGAAAATTACTCTTTACACAAGACTAAGTACCCCTTCATTTTGTTGGTATCACATAGATCAAATAATGATTTAAATTCTGTCTCAATGCCAAATGCTAAAATCGCTTCACTTCCGAAATTGGTAAAATTATTTATACATCAAAATTCAGTAGAATAGTTCAGTAATATTGATCTTTTCAAAGAGTTATCACACAAAGATGATTTTAAATGAGACGTCACTGACATATCAATCCTCAAAATAAAATCAAACCTAAAGATATGAGCAATTAAACAAAACAAAACAAATCAAAATTAAACACACAAAAACCCCAGACAAGACATGCCCACGGACGAATGTCTAGCCCGCTTGTCACCCATTGTGACCTTGACATTCATTTTGCTCAAGACAATTCTCAACTCACCATGTAGAACATTTATATATTATATATCAGTTTTTGTTCCATTTCTATTTGTTAATTACTTTACATTCACGTTTTTGCACAAATTTGTCATGTTGACGTTTGTGTCCTAACGGACTTGACGTCAAATACTTTGTACGTTATTCTGATAAAGACAACAGTCGAAACTAGTAAAGATAAAAGAAATATGTGTTGTTTTAGTGTATTTTAACTGATTTATATTAAATATAGAAGTTATACTCACAAATGAATGTTTTAATTTGTAATTTTAACCTTTGTTATAGACATCTGAATTATTCATGCGACACTCCGCCTCTCCATGGTGAATATCTGGCCCAAGTTATATTAAAATCCCTCCATGCATATAGAAGTTCTCTGGACACTGGTTTTGCGCTGACCCGCAAGAATGACCTTGACCTTTGAGCGGCAGACCTGGCTTTAATGTGTGACACATCGCCCCATTACCAAATTATTTTAAAATCTTTCAAAGTATGAGCAGAATATAGACTGGACAAATCCGAACCCACACTCACACACACACACCAAGCTCTATGTCAAAAGTCAGGCAACTAAGCCAAGCTAACCACAAGCAGGCTCGACAAAAATGAAAAAATAATCTCCAACTCGTTGATTTTTTTTTTCTATCTTCTTATACTAAAACCTAGTTCTGACAGTAATTTGGTTGGAATCTGTTAATTTCAAAATTATTACATTTAAATGACATCTCAAAACTGGAAAAACATGTTATACTACTATGATTAAACTAAAAAAAATTTCGGCCATGAAGGCAGTGTAAGGATAAACTCAAGATGACGTATATGCAACCAGTGATAACAGGATAAAATCTGTTTTTGTTTATACAGTCAACATTTACTTAAGATAGAACAGAGTTAGATTATAATCAATTCATTCTTTGCAGGAGGTGTACTGTACATATTTGTGTACTTTGGTATTACGTCATACCAATTTGACATCATACTTTCATGTGAGGGGCGGACTTGGGAAAGATCAAGAGTTAAATCGCAACCATAAGCTATTTTCATCCTCAAGTACGCAGTATTAATCTGAATATGTTGCCAAAAGAGGAAAGCATTGTGTATATATGTAATAACTTTCAAAATGTTTCACACAATTTAAGCTATTAGTATAGGAAAGTTTGGGCAAATAAGATATTTTTAGATTATCGTTATTATAATCTTAATGGAATTTAAAGATGTCCATAATGTTAAATATACAGAATATGTGTACATTGTAATCAGATAATGAGATTTCAATTTGAAAATGGAAAATTGCAGGCAGCCATAGTATAGTGTGGTGCAGGAATAGGTGGCTAAAAATTGCTTTGATTAAGACCTCATTGCTTGGCTGTCAAATATTTAAAGATATGTCACCGTAACCTGATTTAGGTAAAGCTTGATTATATCTGTTACCCTTTAATCAATTCAATAAGTTTTTAAACAGAAAGCATTTTGTATACCGGTATGTCAGCTTCAACTTTTCATGCAAAAAAACCAAAACAGAACAAAGTCAATAACTATAAAACGATCAATAGATCTATAAACAAAACAAATAACCTTGACCATACCTTGCGGCTTAAAGTATCAAATAATACAAAAGAATGCTTGAATCAATATGTAAAGATAATTTCTCAAGACATATTTATATATCTGTTTATTTTATAAATGTACATGCACACATAATACTTGAGATTATTATAAGCAATCATATGCATAATAAGATACCTACCGATTAAATTATCCTATTGTATATTAAGTAAAGTTGCACCACTGGATTAATCGGTTTTCTCCTATTCCAATTTTTGCGAGGATGAAAAAACGACACCAAAAATAGCCCATTTATAGACAGATCTTTATATACATTTATATATATATATATAATTTATAATAAACTAACTTATCACATTGCCCGTTGACGTCATACCACTCTATGCATATATTTTTATGTACCTGCTCGAGCATAAATTATATCCCCTTTAGGAATGAATTCATAACACTATACTATGTAATACAAAGCCTTCCATTAAGTCAAATATCGTAGTAAATTATAAATCCTGCTGCGGCATACCATATATATCATATAAATAAACCCAAATCATTTAATTCACAAACAAAATTTAAAAACCTCTTGATTATGTCTATGTATTTAGCGGTTTTTATTTGACGAAACAGCGCTATTTTGTTGTATAGATTAAAACTCGTAAATTGTTACACTATTAATAGTAAAATCGACTATGTACACACTCTCACACACTTTGCCACGGCTATATTTAACTGTATAAACCGATAGCTGTGCTGATGTAAAGTGATCGAGCAGTGATGTCATTGCAAGAACAGTTGATAGGGAAAATACTCCCCAAGTGTGTCTATTTTTACCATTTTCAAGTACAGCTGTTGCAAAATAATAACTTTTTTTTAATACCATTGTAAACAAGTGACTCATTTGAGAATACTAAATCAGATTAGAATTTTACAACTAAATAAAAACAATAAAAACTGTCATTTTGAAATTTTGAGATGCACACGCAAATAATCTTGTGACTGTTCTAGTTTAAGTGAATGATTACAAAATGCACGAACATGTACATCATTTCATATGAAATCTTCTGAATAATCTTTAATATGTTATCAGTAGTAAGCCTCATTATATTAAAACTAGCACATATCGGCAGAAAAGAAATCCTTTTATTACATTCAAAAATTAAAGTAATATCCAATTTTCTCTTTAAATTAACAATGCAAGAAAGCCAGACCAGCCTGAGTTCCAGATCTTAGCCTTTTTAATTTTAAAATCTCATAATTTCACAAAATTAACTATATATTTCAGACTTCCCGAAAGTTGAAAAAAACTGTCAGACATTCGGTCTGACAAACCACGAAAATCTGTCGGACCGAAACAAAATCTGTCGGACCAAATAAAATTGATCAAAATCAAAGAAAAACTTGTGTTTGTATTTCTAAGACACTTTCTGTCTTTTATTTTTTCGCCGTAAAAATCGGCACAGTCTGTACAGCGCATTTTCATCTCCTCCCTGTCATACACCAATGATTCATGGTTCTGCTTCCATTTTTCATTAAATTTTGTCTCAGGTCTATTCTTTTCATCCTTTATTGCTGTTCTGCGCACTCTTCTGACGTAGATTTTCGGTTTTCCCAGGTTTGGCACCTTTAGCGACGCCATTTTGTATAAATGTGGCTTGGATAAAAGCCGGACAGTCGGACCGATCCGGAATAAAAAATTGTCGGACCTGATCAAAATTTATCGGACATGTCCGTCGGACCGACGTATTTCGGGAAGTCTGATATTTAGTGGTAAACAGCTAGGTTCATGTTCATAAAATAAACATTGCAAAACATATTGTAAGTTGCATAATTATACACTGCAGTTACCCTAAAAAAATAAATTAATTCTGGAGATCATCTTTAGATTAATCTTCATTTCCATTTACCGCATAACAAAAAAAAAATAATTTTCAAATAATATGTATCAATTACATTAAAAGATTTTAATGCTATAAATTTCTCGATTCCTTCCTCTGCAACAGACGTAACAGATTAAAAGAGATCAATCAAAATGAAAGGAATAACAAACGATCTTTATAAGGCATTGCACTTGGAATGAGATTTTCATTGGAAATTTATGCTTTATTCCTGATGGGGAAGAAAATTTAGCATGATAAAACAAAAATCGACATTACTTTCGTAGTTTCGGAGCTACTAAACATTTTTGCATCTGCATCCTAATCTACCGTGTTGTGCCAAGACAACAAAATCTATCAACTCACCTTGTCTCTTTGTCATTTTCCACTTAAACAAATTAAATTCTTGAAAACTTCTCTTTGTTAAAAAGATAAATCTTCCAATGATTAAAACCGCTCTTCTTACAATCTTACAATGCAATTATCGTATGCAAGACGTAATGAGAACTTTCAAGAAAGTTCTATAAATGAAATACAAAAACACTTTGTTTTGCCCAATGAAACCTTAGAATATTATGTTGACCTATGCCATTTAAACAAAATATTGTACCATATAACTAAGGCAAAACAAAAAATTTAAATGGGCAATATTAAGACAATATATTGACTTTGTTCACATTAAAAATCATACCAAAATTATAGTTTGATGTAAAATCATTGTATAAGAATTACAATTTATAAGCAGAAAAAAAGTTTAAGCATTTTATAACTGCAAGCCAGGCATTTTTTCGTTTCATATAAATCATGTATACAGTGACACCTGCTGTCAAATATCAGGTTCATTTCTGAATATTATTCTATTTTCATAGTTGTTCATGTACAGTTTTCATGAGAGACAGTGACTTACTCAGCTGTACACATGATGTGTGACACATTAAGTACTTTGGTTAGACAGCAGGAAAGACAATTAACGTTGTACCACTTGTGAGAAGCCTCCGTATATATGGTTGTAACAACCGACCACATCCTTATATTGTAATTACAACACATCATAAAACCTACACACAGTCAAGGTCACATGAATGTCTAGGTCACAAAAATGTCAAGGTCACACAACTCGACATCACAAAAGACATGCTTATTGTGCTCACCAGAAGCTTCAAGAAGTAAAAAGTTAATTGTCGTATAAAGAACATGAATGTTACATCTTTAAGAGAGGTCTTTGGGAGGTCTTTATATTCAAGTGGTCTTTAAACAAAACAAATCATCTTAAATGGTTTCCAATAATATGTGGTCAAATACATGTACATGGATAAAACTCAACATTTTTTTAAATGTAAAATTAAAACTGTTCAGGTTAATATATGACATCAATACAAATATTGCAAAGTTGTTGCCATTTCCAAAGCTGAAAAATTTAAAACACTTTTTGGCATTGATTAAATGACTTTGCCTCAATCTTTCTCATCGAAAAATAAATGAAAATTCTTGCGTCAAAAGGTTCAATAATGTATGATCATTTTTTAAAATTCATAGAGACCATATTACCAATCACAAAAATGTCACCTTTACAAACTGTCAGTTGAGAGTGCCACTTAACAGCAGCTGCGTATTGATTCACAGACATCATTTCATTCTCGTATTTTTATCGATAGCTATGATGTCATAGTCCCCGCATTTATTTCTGATTGGGATCAATAGCAAAACCATAGCTGTATTTATGCATATACTTCATTTACTCTGTGCAGACATTTTGGCACAGCTCTTCGGAAAAAAAATGTCTGTGTATAATAATAATAGTTATTGCCAGGCGTCTCGTGCATTGATTTAAGTTTGCATATCCCTATGGTAATATTTATCAGGAACATTTTGGTGCTATTTAAATTAGCACCTACTGCATCATGAAAATTCTTTTATGAAGTAAGTGACATAATGATAAAATATAGCGCAGTAACATAGAATGCTTGAATCTAATGAACTCTGCTCACACATGAGGTGATAATATCATCACCTTAAATGGACGTGAACTTCCTCCTTTCCATTTCTGTAAAAAAAATTTACTTCCTTATTGTCACTAGTAAATCTTTCTCAAAATCCATTAGTAGTATAATCTTGAAAAGCCACAGAAACCTACTTAATCTTCCAACCAGATCATGTTTTTGTCTTTCATGGGTGTAAAATTTTGTAATGTCCTTATAAAATACTAATTAACTTAGTCATCAAGAGCTAAGTGTCACATGATGACTTGGATCAAACCAAGTCTGAAATTTTCATATAAATTTGTTGTGAGGGATCTTATAACCCTTTGTCAGATTTTGTGCATAAGCAACCAGAAGGATGCCTGAGGCTGAGGCCAGCCTACTCATCTCTGCATACAGAATCTGATCTGACTCTATTTTGTTATCAGTTTTGGGTGCTTATTATCACATACCCTCACATTTACTAGTTAAAGATAATTATTCAAGCACTGAATAGCATAGTACAATGCAGAGCAGGGATGACCAAGTGCTGGCTAACCTGCCTCTATATTAGGGCATGGAGGCATCGGGCTGCTGGCACTCAAACCTACCTACATGCATTACGCTTAAGTCCTTTGAGAACAAAAGGTCCAAAAACATGAAAATTAAGCATTAAATTTATTATAGTATAATTTTTCATTTATTTTGTGTTTATTGTTACAACTGATTTTTTTATCATATAATATAAAGCAAGCAATATAATTTGTTTTTATTTTATCGAACTTACCAACAATGCATAAATTTTAAAATTTTAGATAGAGTTCCTTTTTTGATTTTCTAAAATATTTCAATATTTCAGAAACAATTCACACTAAATTAACAAACAAACAAGGAGTAAAATTTCAACTGACCTGTATTTATGTTTTCCTTTTCTATTTTTAAAATCAATTTATTCCTAATGTAATTTCAAAAGATCACAACTGTAGATACTTCTTCACTTAATGGATAAACCTTCCTGTTTAACATGTTTCAGATCATGATTTTTGATAATGTGTCAATACTGTGTCATAATTTACAATCCTGTCAAAATATGTAGTAATATTTTTAAGATCGGCTAAAAGCTGTCCGAATACCTTCAGCTCACCATCACAATAAAAATGATGGTCCTCAGGCATTTAGAGAACATTCAAACACTTGGTAAGGAGATCTGTACATACAAACATCAATCAATTTCAGTGATCAATAAATTTACACTGACATAATTTATAGACTTTTAAAAATATCTACAAATATTGACCACTTTTTCAAAATCTATTTATTTTATTCACAGTATGATAGATCTTACTGGTATAGTTTATTCTATAAAAAGAAATTTCTCAATGAAATTTTAACATTTTGACATAGCATTAAGATATTAGATCAATATCACCCTAAAGTAGAATAACTGTAAACATTACTTTAATGAACAATTTACAGATCTATGATGATAATTTGGTAGTATGTGAAAT